TGAAAGGTTAGACCCTGAATTTAGTTCATATCTTTTGAAGGTTAGGTTATTGATTTCCTGTGTGGTATTGGACTTTAAAAATTTAATTCTGAGGCTGTTACCTAGGAAATTGATGCAATTGAGACAGTATCAGCCAGTGTGGATGAAGGAAGCCCAGGGCGTTTAGCCAAGACTGTCAGAGAGTCAGGCAGGTCTGTCACTTCTCCTTGGGTTATATCAGTGAGGTTATTAAGACTGACGGGACTGAAGCAGTAAGGCACCTGACTGCTTGTCTCTCACATCCTTGCCAAGGGCACGAGCCAGAGAACTGTGATCATGGTGCCGGAGTGACCAGGTGTTTGGGCAGCGCGTGTTACCCTGCATAAGAAAGAAGGCAGACTGTACAAAATCACAAGAGACCAGGGTGTGTTTCAGTTTATTGTCTTCCTACAAAATAGAACCCAATCCAGCCTGTGAACATATACAAATAATAGTGTATGTTTCAAATAGAGAGAAAGGAGTGGCAAGAGGAAAAGTGACTGCTTTTCTTAGAGAATGAACAGCTTGAATGTTGAGAGAAAATGGGAGAGTTGTTTCTCCTTGTTAATCATCTTGGAGGATAAGACAGCTGTGCACCTGGTGTCATTCAGAAAGGCTGCTTATTCCCTGGAGGCCAACGCCATATTTCCCAGTGTGGAGACCCCTACTTCTCTTTTCTTTCACACTGTGCAGGTGAAAAGCCTGGAAGGCTTTCTTTCTGGAAACTCTTTTTCTTAGTCTATTTCCTGTTGCTGTAACAGAATATCTAAGAATGGGAATTTATAAAGAATAGCGGTTTATTTTAGCTCATGGTCTAGAGGCTGGGAAGTCCAAGATCAGGAGCTGCATTTAGCAAGGGCCTTGTGCTGTGTCATGACGTGCAGGCAAGCAGGTGTGTGGGGAAAGTGGGAGGTCTTGCTTCTTAACAATTCACTCCTGTGGCAAATCATCGTGTCCCACAGGAGCAGCATTAATCCTTTTATGAGGGCAGCACCCCATGATGTAATCACCTCTTATAGAACCCACCCCTCCTCAGTGCTGTTGCAGTAGAGATCCAATTTCAACATGAATTTTGGAGGAGACAAATCATGTCCAAAGCATAGCATTCTCCATGAAAATTGAGTTGTCCATTCGAAATTTTGTTAGCTATTGGAGCAGCATTGATTTCAGTATTGTACTCACTTTAAAGGACTTGGAATATTATGTTCTGTGTCGTCATTTCAAAATGTGCCTGTTTGCTTTATGAGCAGGTGAACTGACAGACATCTACTTTATAAAGGCTCTTTCGTCCCACATTTATTTATTTTGAGGAAATTTTCATGAACACATTGTTCAATGACTTTTCTCCTCGCTAAAACCTTCTTATAGTCACCCTGCAGAATTAATTTTCTTTGTGTGTAATTTTATTATCTTGTATGCACTCACTGATGCACCTTATCATCTCACTTTCTACGTTGTAGTGTGAGTGTATGTCTGTGTGTCTCTGGCTGTGTGTGCTCAAGGGTAGGTAAGGGGCTGGTTCATCTTTGTGTGAGTGTGCTCCTCAGGAGGCATCTGACATGACATACAGAGAACATGTGTGGTCAGCATTCCATAAATGTTAAGTGAATGGGTGAATGAGTGATATCCCAGGGTAGAGCCTACTTCTGGAACGTTGAATCTCGTGTCCAGTATTCTAGATGCAATCCTTAAAACTAGGATATTGTACGCAGTGGGAAATTCTTGTGCTCCTTTTCCAGTTGTGGAGCAGCAGCCTGATGTGTTCCATTGTGTTCTGACACATGCTGCATTAGATTGCCTGTTGATAATGAGTGGTGACAAGTGCCATCGTAGCATAGCTGCTTTGGTTCCAAGGTCATGTCTTTCCCTTGGTTGCACATGTAGGGGTTTTGCATTTCAAGATGTTGGCTTATGAGACTTGGTAGCTTGTGTTTATTATTTATTTTTTTTGAGGAATTAACATTGTCTGACCTCTGTAACCCCTGGTTTCCATTCTGATCAAGTGAGATGTGTGTGTGGCAAGCTTTGCACTGATGTTTAGCGTCGCTAATATGCACCGAGCTGATTGAATGGCCTGTGACTGAGTCTTGCCTGGTCTTTATCTTGCTGTAGAATTGTAATTTCTAACTCATTTCAGAATTTTCATAATATCTTTTCACCTCACAGATTCAGTCACTCCCACGGGAAGATAGTTATTTTTAAATTGTACTGACTATTACTATTGTGAAATTTTTTGATACATTAACCAGTTTTTCCTGTTCCATTCAGTTAAAAGCTTTCCTCTTACCTTTCTTTATTGAACATTTTTAAGGGTGGGAAAAACATTATAAAGATAGGAAAACAAAAAATTATATATGTATATATATATATATAATGAAACCGAACATCATATGTTACCACATTAATGTGCACTGTTTTTAATGTACCAGTAAAAATAAATTTAAATTTAAAAATTTTTTAAAAGTTTTATTTACAATGAAAAATGAATTGAAGAATCTGTAGTTTATTGTCTTTGAATGATGATGTTGGAAAGAGAAATCAAAAACTTTCCTCAATTTGGGCCTTGCTGCTCCAAGATTAGACGAAGCTGTTGGGACCCCAGGCCCCTTGCCTTCCCTCCTCTCTTGCACGGCTCTCGCTGAGTCTCCATGTGCAGGTATGGTACGGGGCTCCCCGAGCTACACAGCTCTCTCTAAGAGCCTGGCCAGCTGACATTTTTATCGCAGTCTTGTGAAACCTAGAGAGCGAAGGAACCCAATGACCTCCAGAACTCAGATGATACATGGATGTTGTCCTAACTGTCAAACTTTGTGGTAAATTTTTATGTACTAATAGAAACACAAAGCAAGTGTTAATAGGTATTTGTGTGTGTTTTCTCCTCTTTGAGAAATACAGGGCCAGCCAGAAACAGGCCATCCACTGAGTGCTTCTATTCTGTGGGAAGAATTCATAGCTTTATATACATAGCGGAATGGATCTACTCTGTGTCCAGTACATCATTTAGCATTGGGATTGATTTTGCTCAACCTGGATGAATAAGAGTTTGCCTATAAACTGCTATTTTTATACCAAAGCCATCTCTTTAGTCATTTTGGGCTTCAAAAGCACCTGACTGATGACAGCCTCTGCTTCAGATATCTTTTCTGTTTTAAAAGTGAGTCAATCTAGACCTTTTAAAAGAAGAAAAATGATGAAACCAGAATAATGGACACTGTTTTATGTTGCTGCCTTTCCATATATTGGTTACTTTACTTTATAAAAAGGCTGGAAAATTGGAATTGTCATGTGGGTGGCAGTGCGTGAATAGTTTAGTACTATAATGATGACAGCGTATACTTAGTATGGATGTTCCTTTACCCTCAACCAAGGGGAGGGGAAAGGGGAACTGGGCAGGTAGGTCCCCTTGGATTTCTCTTTCAGCACCCCAGTTCCTAACACAGCAGTGCTAGGAGAGGTGTAAAATCTCAGCAAGACAGGGGTCCTGGGGATAAGGTGGCTCAGAGGAGCCAGCTTCTTCTTCCTTCCTGTGAGACTTGCTGCTTCTTTATTCAGGACAATGAAGAAATGGAAACTGGGTGTCTTGGCCCTTAGGGCCCCCCAGTTTTGCCTAGCACAGTGAGGGAGAAGTTCTGTCTCTGCCATTCATCCAGGGCCCTGCTCTGGCTTTGCTGTGCTTCTGGGGAGCTCCTGATGCCTTATCTCTGCCTTTGTGTGTCTCCTGGCCTCTCCTACAGGTGGAAGGGCTGGGCTGGAGACTTCTCTCTTTTTCTTGCAATGATTGTATTTCAGAAAGATGGGATTTAAAAGAAGGCCTCTTCCCAGGGCTAGAGTTCTCCCTTCCCTGCTAGAAAAACTATTCATTAAAGATTAATCTGAATTAATAGGTAAGTGCCTTAGACTGACTAAAGGCAGTAATCGTGAATGACCCTCACAACTTCATAGTGATCGTCCGTCCCTAGCATATGTTGCATACACTTTGTGTGAGCCAGGAGCCACACTAAAGACTTTCCGTGCATTAACTTATTTCATCTGCTCAGAAGCCCTGTGAGGAGATGTTCAGGCACTTGTCCCGTGTTGCGTGTGGTGACAAGGGGCGACTCAGAATGAGACCCGGGTGGGTCTGCTCTGGAACTCAGGCCTTCAGCCCCTGTGCTGTGCTGCTCTTCTGTATCCCTAATGACGGTTTGATGTCCTTTGCTTCCCGGGGTGGGACTGGGAATGAAGAGTTTGTGGATGAAGCAGGGGAGACGTGGCTCTTAAATGATTGTGATGGGTGATTTGGAAAGACACCTGCGGAGCATTCTTTGTCGTATTGTTTCTTTTCCTACCAGTAGTGGAACAGAAAATGTTACTGTTCCCCCGAGCTAGTACACAGCCAGTATACTTCACTTTGTCAGTTTCCCAGGTAACAGTTCCTGTTCCAGTTTGGTTGCTTCTGTCTCTTAGTAATGGCTGGTCACTGTGATGTACACTGTCCCCAGTTGACAAGCCATTCTGCCTCTGTACTTCCTGCTTGCTTATCCCATATAAGCCCTAGACCACCAGAGGTCAGGGTCTGACATTCTGGGAATGATCCTGATCAGTGCTTGTCCACATAAAAAAACTACCTCCCAATCCTGGGTTTCGTTTTGGTGTTTCTGCTTGTCATTTCAGTAGTAGTAAGAAACTCTGGATGTTACTGACCTTATAATCAGTGTGGTGCCTCAGCCCAGGACCCAGGAAGCACAGTTTGGTTTTTCTTCTTCTCCTTTATACCATCAGCACTATTTTTCTCTTTCCTTAATGTTCTAGCCATGGAAAGCTCTTTGTATGTTTGTGTGTGTGTGTGTGTGTGTGTGTGTGTGTGTGTGTGTGTATATGGTACATGAAGTGTTTCCTTTGTCAAGGATTTGTCATTTAAATAGTATTTTGAAAATATTCTTGAAGTAAAGACTAATGAAAAGGAACTAATTTCTATCATTATTCTTTTCTGCCTCACACAGTATTGGCTGGATCCTGCGAAGACCCTTGCTGAACACAAAGAGCTGATCAACAGTAGGTATTCAGTTTTAACTTTGTTAAGGGCATGCTTACTTGGGAGCAGATGCTGGCTTTAGTACTGGAGAAATGCATGTGCCAGTGTTATGCTATGAGGCATGCAAGGGGGTACTGTTATGCATTTCAAGGCTCTGCTTGTCTGTCTTAGGCAGACTCTGAGTGGATCGTAATACTATACAGTATTGACTTTCTCCTGGGGTGCACCTTCCCCTGACGTGATTTTTTTCTATGCTTGTCTTTAAAATTTGACTTTAAAGACACATATAGAAAAGGCAGAGGGCATGGATTTGAAAATGAGGCGATGGGTTATGGAGTGGTTTTTTTTTTTGTTTTTTTGTTTTTCTACAGTACTGGGAACCGAACTCACGACCTTGCGCTTGCCAGGCAGGCACTTTACTGCTGAGCTAAATCCCCAGCCCCCTAGAGTGGTTTTATTATTCACACCACTCAGTTTACTGTTCAGTAATTAAGGGTTGCTCTTGTGACCTGAAAAATTACTACAGGTCCAGAGAGAGGCCATCCATTTTCAGCAGTTAGCTGTTGGTTTTGTCAATATGAATATTACTAGGACACTCAGTGTAATTGTATATTACTTAATCTTAATTTCTACAATGCCATTTTATTTGTAAACACACACACACACACACACACACACACACACACAGAGAGAGGAAAATAGTCCTTTAATTTTTTTGGCTGTGTTGGGAATGTACCTTAGTGGCAGAGTACTTGCCTAGCTAGCATGCACAAGATCCTAACTTCAATCCCCAGTACTGGAAGAAAAGAAACACAGGATATTATTTTTAAATTGTGGTAAAATATATATAAAATTTACCATTTTAACCACTTTTGTCTACAATGCAGTGAAATTAAGTACACTCACATTGTTAGCTAGGTGCAGTACTAGCCTATAATCTGAGCACTGAAGGAGGCTGAGGCAGGAGGATTGCAAGTTTGAGTCCCACCTGGGCAACTTAGCAGAGACTCTGTCTTAAAATACAAAATTAAAGGGGAAAAAAGGGCTGAGGATGTTGCTCAGTGGTAGAGTCCTACATCTAGCACTGTGGGGGGTGGGGAGGGAGAAAACCCATTGCAAAAGACTCATTCATATTGTCATGCAGCCATTGTCACTATCTCCAAAATTTTTTCATCATCTCAAACAAACTGAAATTCTACTCATTAAACCAGTTTTCTCCAAATGTGTGAATTATTTAAGTCAGCACTAAGTGGATTGTTCAAATCAGCACTTAGGGAGTTCTTGATTGCCTCATCCCAAGTGTAGACTTGCTGTGGGTGTCAGCCCCTTCCTCATGGTGGTCTGGGCTGTGTGGTGCTTCCCGTCCAAGGGCAGGTGCACCAGCCCCAAAATGGGAGAGCAGGTACCCCGGCTCTGCTGGAAATGAGCGCTCTTTCTCCGACGTCAGCATCGCTTTGTTTCTGTGCTTTGCCACCGCGATGGTGGAAACCCCTGGAGTTCACGAGTGACACCTTTGGTCCAGTTGAACCAATTAAAAAACCAGGTGGAAAATTAGAAAAATTTCAGGAATGATTATTTTAAAATAAACTCACAGGTTTCTATTATAAGAAAAAAGTTGAAATTTCAATTGAGGTGATAAAGAAGCATGTGAATTATCTTAAGGTGCATTAAGTGTTTCTGAACACAAAGTGTCTATTCACATCATATCAAATATTCTACTTCAATATCATATAAAAAGCAATCACTTTTTTGTCCTAAAAATGTAATATTATGACAAATGTAATGTACAGTAAGAATAAAACACTATTGCCCTTGAAGAAATACGTCACTGAAGAACACTTACATTTCATCTCATGAAGTAATTTGATAATAAGTGAAGGAAAATGGCATCAAATCACCAAGAGAGAGCTCAGAAGGAATATCTAACATTCCAGAGTATGTATTGGTCCCAAGGGTTTTTACAGTCTTGGGGTATCTGTCCTTAAGCTAGTTGGAAATTCCTTGTTATCCTTAGAGGCCTTCAGACTAATCTTCACCAAAAGTAGATCAGGAGAGTCCCACTTTCTGGCTTTTTTCTTTTTTTTTAAAGTAAAATAATCTTAGCTTCACTTTACACAAAGTTTCTTCAGTGTTGAATCTGTGGGTGAAGATAATAACTTGACAATTGGCTTCATCACCACTGATTTTTATAATTAGTCTTGGAATAGGAAGCTGGAAAATATCTAGGTAAACTTACTCTTGCCTGAAAATGGTAACTTGGTAGCCTTTAATCTCTGCTAAGCAGTGATCGATGTATAGAGGAGTGTGTGTTCACTCTAAAGGTGTTAGAGTTTTGCTTCTCCCTGTGAAGCTGTATAAAGTAGTGGCCAGACAGCACTGAACACTAGGTATTGGCAAGCTTGGTTTTCATCTCTGAGGTTGCTTAACTCCTTGGAGCACTACCTGCCTTGCTTCTTTTACCAGGTTGTGGTGGGACTCAAATGTTCATGTTACGTTTTGTACCTTATCAGGTACAATCAAATGGGAATGATGCTTTGTATTTAGGACCCAAACCCCTTTGTATGTGAGTGGGGAGTGGCTGAATTGGACCAAGAGTCCTTAAAGAAAATTAGCCCAAATTGAGTGCTTTTCAAACTTTTGCTTAACTATTTATCACTAAACACATTTGACACAGCTGCACTTCGTGAATAGGGTGTAATCTGTCATGCTCCAGAGAATAAAGCAGCTTTGGGGTCTAGAGAAGGCCTCTTCCCTTTGTGCAAAGTCTCTGCACATCTGTGTGCTCTCCACCCCCTCGGTACCAACCCCACTGCCTGCGGGCACAGGCCGACCCATCTGCTTAGGAACACAGAGCTTGACTGACGCAGTCAGATCAGCAGAGAGAGGTCTTCCTGGATCTTCTAAATATTTAATAGTCTTGCTTGCCTGACATCTATGTTCAGGGGTTAGGGTGTATTTGTCAGGAATATAAACATAGTGGTTAAGAAAACATAGAAATCAAACAGATGGAATCTGTTCTAATGAAAATAAATTAGAGCAAAGTTCTAAAATGTTTGCTTTTTGAAGACTCTAGTATAAGAGGTGCTAGATGAGGGAGAGGGGGATAGGTCCCGGCCTTGACTTTGTCATTTGTATGCTGGAAATACGGCATTGGGTATTACAAACATAAGCATATGTGAGTAATAATAACAGCATAGTTTGCATATTATAAATGCATTATTATCTTTATTACTTATTCATTTCATTTCCCCAACTTCTAAATTTATAACTTTATTGTTCAGTTAAAAATGAGATTTGGGGGCTGGGGATATAGCTCAGCAGCATGGCGCCTGCCTGGCAAGCGCAAGGTCCTGAGTTCAATTTCTAGTACAAAAAAAGAAATAGAAAAGATATGAAGCATGAACCCAGTTAAAGTCTCTGTTACTGTGTAACTAACATAAAGTAAACCTAGTCTTTCAACCCCCCGCCCCCGTTTTAACTTGGAATCAAACTCAGGACCTTGCACTTGCCAGGCAGGTGCTGTGCCACTGAGCTATGTCTCTAGCCCTCTATTTTATTTCTGTGGGAGAACGTCTATTAAAAAATTGCAAGTAGGGCTGGAGATACAGCTTAGCAGCATAGCGCCTGCCTGGCAAGCTTGAAGTCCTGAGTTTGATTCCTGGTACCCCCCAAATAAATAAATAAATAAATAAATAAATAAATAAATAGCAAGTATAACTACCATTTGGTGCACCAAGTAAAAAGTCCTTTTTAAAAAAGTGTATTAGATTTAGTTATTGCATGGCTTGGAAGTACTTAGTTTTGAAAATAGTGTACATCAGATTCATACCCTGTGAAACAGAACTATTTCTAGTAAGGTGTAATGTAATATGGTAACCCCCAAGGGCCTTTTATCCTCCTGCACAATATGAATGTTTATTTTACATTTGCCCATGTATTTACAACTCCAGGCTTTGTTTATGATTTTTTGGTTTTTGTTTTTGTTATCTATAGACTTAGTTTTTCTGTGTTTGGTAAAATGAGATGAGAAATTTCTTCTTCCACTTGTAAGAATTCACTTTTAGATTCAGAAAAGTTTAAGAATGAAACAAATAATTGGCATTAATTCTATCACAGAGCTTCACTAATGATTTTTTAAAAAGATACATGATAGGAAAATTCTAACTAATCAGTTTAAAGAGAAAATTTTTAATCCCTCTTCCCAAATTTTGCTGGTAATTTTTATAGTATTTTTCTAGGAAAAAACATAGATTATCTATGTTATCTATGATTCCACAAAAGAATAATATTTCTTGCACTTTGGAATATAAATTGATGGTCTTTCCACATCAGTATCTGCAGATCTTAAGTTTAAATGGTATACAACTTGTGATTGTGGTTGGCTAAGATGGTCCACCTGCTGCTGAGAATTTGTTTCTAGCTTTTTGCAGAGGTATACATTTTTTTTTTATCATTGAAGTGGTAGGTGGATGGTTTATAAAATCATTAATTTTGTTTATCAACACTCATTCTTTATGAAAAAATGTGTTATTGAGTAATGGTAAAAGTATAAACAATTAAAATTGTGCATAGCTTCATCAACCAGATAAAATTCAGCAGCATTCTAGTGTGTTTGGCCTTATGTGTTTGTTCATTTGCACATACATGTACATGTGCACACACATGTGTGCACACTTTGTTGAACTCCTACTGTCAACAGTTTCAAACCCTGCTTTTTCCATTTTGTTTTCTTGTGTCTTGTGATGTTCTTAGTGTAATTCTTAATATTTATATAATCTGATACTACTTTGACTATAATGCAAAATTTAGTTAATTCCTATTTCTTATTTTAGCTGGACCTCCATATACTCTGTATTTTGGTATTAAGTTCTATGCTGAAGATCCATGTAAACTGAAAGAAGAAATAACCAGGTACAGTGTTGACTGTTTTTGAACAGATGCAGTTATGGTATGTGTAAAATGCTTTATTGAAAACAAGCTAAAATTGATGTCAACCATTCAGATGTGTGTCTGCCTGAATTTTGTATTTTTTCTCCTGTGAGGATTAAATGTGTACTAGCATTGCATGAGACAGATTGGAATCTGATGATAGATGTGTTTGAAAAATGCCATGAACCGGGGTGACATGATGGTAGATTTTGCATCTGCTCTGATGGGCTATTCTGTATCATTATTGCTAGGCATGGATTCTGCTTTTGTATTCATAAAAAATAATCATTTGAACTGCCTAATGCCCAGTTTGCATATGTAAATATATATTTGAAGAACCACTTCTTTCCCTTTAATTACTTGTAGGTAAAATGTCAGCTATTCAGATGTTTCATTTATCTCTCCAGGAAATGAAAAGACAGTTACCTTTAGTGTTAAGGAGGGTAATAAAAGTCTAATGTTTTCATGAATTACTTTACTTTTGTCATCAAATATTTTATTTCACGTAAGGCAAAATATCTACTTGATGTTGATCAGGTTGTAAGAATAGTTCATGCCAGCATTGAAAGTGGATTATAAAGATCTTAGGGTGGTTTTGTGCTGGAACAATTTCATGATTGGTGAACTGGCTGCATGTAGTAGCAGAAGCAAAAGCATTTTCCCTAAATTAAGTGATCAGTTTTTCAGTGAAACTTTATCATGGGCTCAAATAAAGCCTAATGCATTACTTTAAGATTATGTCTTTGATAAGTAAGGCAGCCTGTGGTTTTGTTTCTATTCCATCCATTTGTCATTCTTCTTAGATGCTCTTTTATATTGCACACCGAAGAGCGAGACGAGAGTAGACTGATCAGACCTTTTCCATCCCTTGCTGAAGGGTAGGCCTCATTTCTTGCGAGCTGTACAGATCTCTGTATTCACTTCTTTCATCATCACTCTGTTAGTCAGTGCTGTGAAAAACAGGATTCCCACTGAGATTTTCTCAGAGCACACTGCTGTGGGAGATGGGCCTTTGGGGTGGGCAGGGGATGTCAGGGAGGTGTGATGTTTACCAGAGAATTCCATGGGGGAGACTGAATGCAAATGGTATAAAAATACTTTCATATCTTTAACTCATGAGGGAATTAGAAAGGAACAACAGTTTGTCAATATACAGTGAAAGCCCATCATGTTGAGGTTGTCAGTAACCTCTCTGTGCCTCAGTTTCCTTAGTTGTAAAGTTGAAGATGTACCTGTCTCACAAGCTTCTTTTAAGCCTTAGCTGGAATAATGTACTTAGAGCTTTTACAGTTGTGTTTGACTCATTGTTAAGTGCTGGGCAGATGTTAATACTTTCTATTTCATGCTGTCTTTGTCCTGGCAAATATAGCATGGAATTATATTTTCAGTGGGGTTAGGTTTGAAAAGTATTTGAATTAGTGGTGAAAAGGGAGGAAAAAAGTGTTTCTTAATGCCTTACTTTACCTCTGTTTACCACATATTAATATCAAACAGACATTTCCCTATAGAACCTACTAATGACTTGTTAACAGAATAAATGGATTTGTGTGCAGTGTTCCATTAAGAACCAGATCACATACTTGGCTTATAAATGTTGGCTGTGATTTATAATATATTCTTTGTCTGAAATATGTAGTTGAACTTCAGTGAGTTAAAGATGCATTTAATGTGGTTTCACTTATTATTAGTGTGTGCTGAAAAATAAAGCCATTGAATACCGTAAATATGTTAATTTGAGTGGCCAAGCATAGTGGGTCTGAAAAGCAACTCAGTTGCATGAGATCATTTTGTTGGCAAAACCAAAACTAAAAAAAGAAGACTCACTAACATATGCTGTTAAAAGTATACTTAGACTAACATTTTCAGGTTAAATGTTTATTTTGATTCAGTTCTTTACAAAATTGTTCCAGCCTACTCTGTATTTTTTTGTTTGTAATTTTTTGATATGAAATATAATACATATAGTAAGCCTGCTTATATATATATATATATAGATTTAAAAAAAAATCATGTAGGAACTTTTACTAATCTAACTCAATCTTTTTACCCCTGCAGAATATTACTTATCCATGCCCTTGTGGATGGCCATCCAGGTTGTCTGCTTTTTTTTTTTTAATAATTTAGTTATAAATAATGCTTCAGTGAAGCTTCTCACACACATATGTAATCATACTAGATACAGCATTCAGTAAGGACATGGTACCTAGGGATACACAGGAAGATAAAGTTTTAGATTATAAAAACTAACATAGGATCATAGTCCTGGAGTTCCTGCCCTGTGTTTTAAAATGTTTTGTGAAATAAATGAAGCTGCAGGATTCTAAGGTCATATATTCTAACCCCTACCTTTGACACACAAACCAGTTCATTTAAACATTTTTTAGAGAGGAAACCTTATAACCGTGAAAAGCAGTAAGACATTCAATTGGAAATAAGTGACTGAAACTTTTATTATTACTACCAAGTTTTCTTTTTAGGTCTATTCAGAGTAAATCTATAACCTCTAATCATTAGTCCTTTAAATAATTTGTGTCCTCATGAGATTCATTAATTTTTCTTCAATTTTAATGCAAATATTTTTATATCCTTCCGTGTATTATGTTATTTATACCTCTGTGTCCTATGCGGATCAGTTAAGGTGATAGGCTTTAGAATCAGACAGCTGAGGTTTATGTCCTTGATCTGTCACTCTAGCTGGGCAATTCTGAGAAGATCACATAACTTTTTAATCTCAATTTTGTCATCTATATAGTAGATAGAATTATAGTATTTCTTTAAAAAGACGCCTGGAGGCATAAATACAATAATATATCCAAAGTACCTACCATAATGCAGAAAGTCTCAGTATTTCATAGATGGTAAGTATAGTGAAAATGGAAAAAAATTTATAAAATGGAAATAAATCACAAAAATTTATGTATACAAATATAAAAATATATAAAATGCAAATAAATGGCAAAACAAATATATAAAATATATAAATATATAAAATATTTATAAAAATTTTATATTTTTCAAGTTATTGATTAAAAAATTGTGTAAAGACCATCATGGAGGCCTGAGATGGGTCTTCCAGGTAGGTTTAAGTCAGAACTTTCTGAGTGTAGGGGTTCATGTAACTGTGAATCATCTTCGTACTGCCCTCTAGCCTACATTTCCGGAACGTGCACGTCAAGACCACATTCACTCGCTCCTTTTCATTCTGGAACTATGTGTTCCCTGTGCAGACAGTGGTCAGGGAGAGGTCCAGTATCAATGCGGATGAAGAGAGAATCTGTCAGCTGCCCTGCTGGCGTCCCTACCTGTGATGCCATTGGCATTTTGCTGAACTTCTATGTATCTAACAACTCTTTCTATAAGGAAAGTGTTATTTCCAAATGACTCACTGATGACTTTTTTAAGATTCTAAAGAGAGGTACTGTATTTGATGTTTCTAGTTTTTGTAATACATTATAACATTTTGTTGGAGATTGACATCAAGTCACTTGTCACTATTACCATTCTTTTTGTAAACCATACTCTCTCCTGGGTGAAGCTAGCTTGATTTAGCTTCTTTACCAGCTCAATGACATCCTTCTATATGTCTTTCCTGAGTTGTCGTCTCTTGTCAGTGAAGGTAACGGTCCTTAGGTCCTTATCTACCCCAGAGCGGAGGTGAGGGTCACCTGCCATTAGAGACACAAAAGACATTTGTGAACTTTGAAGGACTGTGCAGTGGTGCGGGTCCTCAACAACTTGTTCTTCTTGGTTTCAGTTCAGCTTCTTCTAATGAATACCAAATAAATGGAAAACTGTGAGGCCAGCGTTTCCAATCTGTCATTCGTGTTGTGCTGATGTTTTAAATTGGAATGGGTGGAAGATCGCAAGCTTCTCCCCATCCTCATGATCTAGCTTGGGAGACAGCATGTGTGCATCAACATATTAATCTCCTTAAGAAAGGAACCAGACGTTGCTTTATGAAGCCTCTGCTTTGCAACGTAATGTGTTCTGGAAACTTCCTTGTTAAACAGATCACCTTAATTTAGCAGTATAACGAGGGTCACAGTATAATTTGTTGTCCGAATGTTGACGTTTTAAAGAATGATGAGCAGAGTTGTTAATAATCTTACCTCTGTAATAGGCTTAAACTAGATGGAGCTGTCCAAGGCAAATTGGATATAGGTTTACCCTAATTACAATGAGAGATAGACAAAGAGGCAGTCATTCATAACTTTAATCAGAATGACACAGAAGGAAAGACCCAGTGACTTTCAATCTATTTTGTCCATAAAATAGACAAAATAAATTACAAATAGCTTGGGAAAGTAAGATGGGAGGATGGTGAGCTTGAGGCCAGCCTGGACTATGCAGCAAGACCCTGTCTCAAAAAACAGAGCAAATGTGTGATCTTTATCATAAATTTGTCTATATGGATCAAATAGAATAGCACAAATAATCATATTCTTAATTAAAACTAGTATGCTTGCATTATTCAGTTTCTTAAGGATCTCTGGTAACTGTAAAAGGTACACTGCTCAGGAAAGTTAGAAGAGATATCCTTTTTCTCCTTGTATTCCTCAAAAATTGCAAATCAGTTTTTTTGCTTCCATTTAGCTCTTTTTCATCTGTATACCCGTCTACCAGATCAGCTATTTAGTGAGCTCTAGCATGTGCTGAGCTCTAGATAGGCCGGTGGGACATGGTTACTGTTACTTTGTATCTGCTTGCCTTTATGTGGACAGGTGTATTTTTGTTTTTCTCTCTCCCTGTTTCTGTTGTCCTTTGTCTTCAGAGCAAGTGCCTGTGGGATTCGGTTCTTCTGTTTTTGTCCTTGGCTGGGGTTTTGATTATCTAGTCAAATGTTATAAAAGTCTTAATAGAAGAAGATAAATAGCACCTGTGACCCATTTCTTAAGAAACTGAACTTAAGGACTAGACAACCAAAGGTGCTATAGAGACATAGGCTGTAGCACACGTAAGTTTTCAGCAACCAGAGGTAACTCTAGCCAGTGTCTCTAGTTTATAAACTTTAGTACTTAAATTCTAATATTGTTTTACCCTTGTTTTTCCATCCAAGAGGAACACAAACTATCGTTAAAAAGTAGATTTGCTATCTTGGGTGAGCAGTCAGGGAATGGAAAGTGTTGAATAGGGTTGGAAAGATGAGTACAAATTAGGGAGTGAAGGTGATCCTCGATCTGTGGCAGGAGATTTGCACCATGCAGTAAGCGGAGATCTTACCAGCTGTCTTAGGAGCTTTATCCTCAAGGTCCAGGGAAGTCTTAAAATATTTCTAATCAAAACATGACATGATCCTATTTACCACCTGAATCCCATTTACCTCCTAGGAAGATTGGAAGGAAGGCTGGTTGAAAGGTTTTTAGAAGTCTGAAGGACAGTGACCCAAACTAGGGGATGGTGAGACGTGCATTGCTTTCCAATCACATGTGTTTGGTGATGGAGGGTGGACACCAGGGTTGGCCAGAGGACGAGCACCCCCAGATTTCCCTGACACGCACATTTGAGAATAGTATTGTAGTACTGTTTCCTGAAATGGGTAGTGGGAAAGCATGGGGCATTAAGCAGGTTTTTGCTAAAGCCTGTTGTTGCAGTCAAAGTTAATATCAGTCTTTTGACAGTAATTGGTGTACCATCTAACATTTGGATTCCCTCGGGAAGGATTTAGGTTGTGGGCAGTTGGAAAAGCAGGATTTATCACAGCAGATTTTTATAATTCGTTTTTTGCTTTTCTCCACCCCTCCTGGTGACAGCAAGAATCACCTTGCAAAGGGAGTGAAATCACAAAAAGCTTGAAATGTGTGCACGTGTGTGTGTGCATGTGTGTGAGTGGTGGGTGAGTCATTGTGTTGGTTCAGACCTCTCAGCCCACAGGCAGAAAAACTGAAAAAGAAAAAAACAAAAAGTGTGTCAAAGTTCTGTAGCATTCTGCTTGAGAGTTTTAGGATCAGATTGCTTGGATGCCAGTTCTGGATCTACCCTTAAACTAGTTACCAGATCTTGGGCAAGCTACTTTTCCCTTCCAGGTCTATCAGTTTCTTTATCTACAGAACAGAGGTAATAGTACCAACCTCATCTTTAAAGTTTTGCGTAAGTGGTTGTACGTAAACTACTTAAGGTGAGTTACAATATTTACAATGTTTAGAACAGTTCTTGGCACTGTAATTATAACAGATTTTCTTGTGGCAATGTGGAATGAGCAAGGCTGTGGATAATGAGCAGAGTCTTAATAAGTGGGAGGATTGACAGAATTATACTACAATGACTTTTTTGTCTGTACACGTAATTTTGGGCCTTGCAGATAACACCTGTAAAATAGGCGGGGTGCTTGTGATTTGTTCCTCCCAGTAAGAGCGTTTTGTAGTCAGTGCAGTGGCAGGGGCAGCAGTGAAATGGCCAGTGCTTTCTATCCAGCTGTGACTCTCCCCCTGAGGAGGGACCGTCACCCTCCCAGTCTTACATCCTAGCTGTTGGTGAGGATGGGCAGCTGCCCACCATGGCGGTGTCGTGAGTAGCAGAGCTGGGATGCAAGCCAGGCTGTTGACCTTGAGCCGCAAGTCTGTGCTGTGTCAGTGGGGCCTTCAGACAGTCTTGTCCCTCCCCACACGGCAGCCCTCACAGAAGGGTAGAGTGTGGCTTGGTTTCCATCCCATCCCCGGTCATTAGTGTTGACCTTGCTGATCAGGCCTGTAAGTTCGAGTTTGAGTAGTGTAAGAGATTGTTAATCTCTCTTCTCCATTTCTCTTTTAGATATCAGTTTTTCTTGCAGGTGAAGCAAGACGTCCTTCAGGGCCGGCTGCCCTGCTCTGTCAACATTGCTGCTCAGCTGGGAGCATACGCCGTCCAGTGTAGGTTCCACTCAAGTGTACTTGCTTCACAAATGCCTGCGAAGCGCTCCTAATGTTCTTTGTATGCAAGTTTATATTCTAAGCTCTTTTACCAAATGACATTTTTTAAAGAAGAACAAAAGTGAATTCCATCACAGTTCACATTTTCAGCAGTGTCCTAACAGAAGAGGTAATAATGGAGCCAGGTGCGCTTCTCTTGTGGTAGGTTGTGTGGAGTTTTCCTTGCCAGCATAGCATTGATTCTCAAGTAAGTGAAGGATCTAAAAAGCTCTTCCCAGAGTTCAGTGATTCTATACCCCGCTGCCGCTTCTGGCCAGGTGGTTTGGTCTCAGAGGTCACGTTGCTTCTGGGTAGCTGTTGTGAAGACTCCACGTGGTCCAGTGCCAACCTGAGTTCAGTGTGGCACACATTCGCTGCACGGTGCATGTCATCAGCTCTTCGCATCAGTATGGCGGCCATGTGGCATGGCTCTGGGTTGTTTTGCCTTTTCGGAGACTCACGGTGAGGTTATTTCTAATAATCATTGAGGACCTTTACAAATCAAGCTGGGCTTGAGCAACATGAGACAGCATGGGCTTTGCCCTTGTGGCACCTGTAGAATCAAATTTGTATATATAAAATGTCAAAAGTATCAAGTATATATTCTGGGTTAGGGGTTGGAAGGTAGATTAATACAGGGGCGAACGTTTTATAGGAGTAATGTGGTGAGTTTTCTGGTTTCCTTGTGTTCCTTTTGTAAACTGTAATCAGGTATTGCAGTACTGGGTTATTGCCATGACCGTTGCTGGGGTCATGGATGTTTAAAATCACATACTGTTTGTGTCATTGTCAAAGAGGAATTATTGGGGTCAACTTCAGCTTTTCTATTACTTACCCTAATTCTGTCTATGGCATTTTATTTCATGTGAACTGATAAGATTGATTGAAATGAAAATGGTGTAATTAGAGTCTTTGGGAATGCAGAAATAAGAAATTTGCATTTTAAGTCAAGGCTTTGTTTATACCATCACTATGTAGTCAAAGTTACAATAGTAAAATTATTCAGGAATTGTATAAATTTACTAATAAAGCATTTGAAGAAAAAATGCTCAAACATGATAGAGATACTTTATTCCTGTATTTTATAATACTTTCTTAAAATAGAATAAAATTACAATTTCTTTTCTTTTCCTCAGCGGAACTTGGAGATTATGACCCATACAAGCACATTGCGGGATACGTGTCAGAGTACCGGTTTGTTCCTGATCAGAAGGAGGAACTTGAAGAAGCCATAGAACGGATCCATAAAACTCTAATGTAGGAGTCCTGTCTGCCATGGCGTAATCAGTCATCATCCTAGGCTCTTGACAGTTAAACAAAGTTTCTGGAAGAATCAATTCTTCACCTGTGTCTTGAACATTCCAGCTTTTTCCTTCTGTAGTTTACCGGGCATAACACTAAAATGCTCTTTGAAAACTCCCGCAATTTGAAAAAAGTGTAAAGGAGGAAGCACTTAAAACAAGCATATTTTTGGTTACTGGCCTCTCGACTCTTCTGTGCATATAATTTTCCATAGAGAAAATTTGTTTTGTATAGGTAGTATATAGTTGTCCTATGATTTTATATAAGTGGGAGCAATCTGTGAGTACTGTTTTGCAATCTTTTTTTTACTTACTTGTATCCTGTGAAAAAATTTTAAAACTATACATATTATTTTTTGCTATTAAAAATAGCCATAAGTGCCTTAATGTATTTTAGATTTGCTCTGTGTTAAGTATATAAATCCATCACAGTTAGAAACAGAGTCTATTCAGGCTACAGCAGCCAATTCGGAGATCACAGTGACACTGGTGTGGAGCCTCGGAGAGCATTACATTAACACCACACACACTTCTGAGAATAGATGTGCTCCTAGTAGAATTTTCAACTAATAGCCCGGAACCTTGAAGTTATAATTTAATTATAGTTATTTTGGTTAAATCCTCTATACTGACTAACTTTGCTTTCTTGCTTCTTATGTAGCATTCCCCCTTGAATATACTTGATTTCAGATCTATTATAGTTAAAGGAAAAAATTGTAGAATTAATTTGCTCGACAGAAGTGTTTGCCTAAAGGATCTGTGTGAGTGAGGAGATGCAGAAGTCGACTGCTGAATGGCAATCAGAGAACAGCCTCTCTGTCTTGTATTAGCATGCAGTAGAATGCTCTCCAGCTGATTATAGAGTCCTTCATTTTCAGGTTGTGCTGAAGTGGATGCTAAGAGACTGATGGGTATAATATTATGGAGGGCAGCATGTTTGGCACATTCTGAGAATACTAATTTTGCTAGGAGTTTCAAAGTGCAGTTGTGTTTTGAAATTACTTTGGAGCTTTAGGTAGAAGCCCTCTTATATGTTTTGTGTAACAGTGTAGTCTGAGTGTTTTTACTAGGAAGAAAGCATGATCAAAGTTTGGTAGCTTTCTTGTGTCTAATTTGTGATGAGTGTTCTTCACGCATCTTACAAGTAGGCTATATTTCTGGCTTTTCAGTATGCCATGATGGAAATGAGGGAGTGCCTCAGAGCAGGATTCCTTTTTTTTGTTTGTTTGTTTGTTTGTTTGTTTTCTGGTACTGGGAATTGAACTCACAACCTTATGCTTGCCAAGCAGGCGCTGTGCCACTGAGCTAAATCCCCAGCCCCAGGATTTCTTAATTTATACAAATTTACAACTCCTTTTGTTAACCATTAAAATACACCCCATCCCTCAATTCATTTCTAACAGATGTACCCCGTCATTAGGAATGGATACTCTTTTCTATATGTTATAACCAGTGAAGATTTCTATAGTATTAAGAAAATAAAAGGCGCTATTACAAATTTTAGGTTACTAATGTATTTCCGAACTGCACCTATGCTTTGGAGATGTTGATGTGACCACTGGGTGTTGGGGGCCTTGTTCCACTCTTCTGCCCACCACTGTGCTAGTTCCTTTTGCTTCTGATGTAGAGCTACTGGTGCATGGAGACACTTCACTCTTTGCAAAGTGTATGCTTTTTAATTTAAGTGCTTATGTCCTCAATAGCCTCTTGGGGGGAGATTGAAAACGAAAAGTTTTAATATGTGCTAAGGCACTGAAGATAGGATATAATGAGATAGGATATAATGATCAAGAATAGATTTGGTAACTGAAATTAACCTAATGTAAGCATCACTTGGGTGTACAAAATTTTGTCACCAAGAAGAGAAAGGCTTTCTTGAAATATAGGGACTTAGTTTTGCATTAGTAAAAAGGATTATTTATTGTCCACTGAAGATAGTGCAGATAGTTTACATCCCCCATAAGTGCAGTAGCTATCTGTAAAGTAAGGCTCTTTGTCTTTATTCTGGGCATAGGGGTCAGGCTCCTTCTGAAGCTGAGCTGAATTACTTGCGGACTGCCAAATCCCTGGAGATGTATGGCGTTGACCTCCATCCTGTCTATGTGAGTAACATTTAATTAACACAAAATATTTTAAGCTGATGACATTTTTCTTAAAAAGTCACGGAAACTCCCAAAGGAAAGCTGCATTCCTCTTTCTTAGTAAGTAGATGATGCTTTTTCATCTGTGGTTTTTGAGCACAAAGCAGCTCTTGCATGGATTAAACCCTAATGAGCTTTGCATAGAAGTCTGTGATAGTATTTCCATGTGTAGAAAACAATTAACTGGGCTTGAAAACACAATCTGGATAGCAGCTCCAAAGGGCTTAGCTAAACGTCAAAACAATTTAAAATTGGTTTGTAATAGATCGCATTAGACAGAAAACAGGAGGATTTTCCAAAAATAATTTTTATGGCTGAAAAACATGAGTTAACTTGCTGGATAGAGCAGATGTTAGGCAGTAGTCCAGGTGCAGTGATAGGTAGTTTTGTGCTGGACATGCAGGTTCAGCCGGTAGAAGGGTTACCACCCACTACAGTTATTGCAATAGGAGTCTTTTTGCAGATTTGTTTGGTGGCTGATTAAATCTTGCCAAACATGGTCAGTGAACAGTTACACTGGATCTGCTCTTGAGTGTTCTGGAGGGAGGTCTTAGCCTGGAGTCATTTTTCTTAGGCTACCAATTGATTATTCTGCCATTGCTTTTGATTTTCTGAGTGTAGTTAGCAAAAGTCACATTCGATTATTTGAGGAAATGAGCCAAGTGATTTATGCCTTTTAGGAAATGAATTGCTAGAGAGTATATGTAGACTTTTTGAATCAGGGAACTGTTTTTAAGGAATGCTGATAAAACTTTCTCTAATTTTTTTTTTTTTTTGTCTTTTTGCAGTTCAGGCCGGCCTTGAGCTCACTTTGTAGCCCAGGCTGGTCTCGAACTCACAACAATCCTCCTGCCTCAGCCTCCCGAGTGCTGGGATTATAGCGCCACTATGCTCGGCTAAAACTTTCTCTAATGTGAATCACTCATTCATACACTCATTTTGTAATATGTCTTTTGCTGGTCAGGCTTTTCTGAAAAAAGAAACAATGTGATATGATTGTGGAGAATTAGAAGCATCCCTATAAATGTAGTTGTAAAATTACAGATTTGGGGGAAGTAATAGTTCCCCAATACACAGATTCCAATCTCGGTCACTAGATGTGTACTGCACTTTAGGAAACCACTAAACCTTGGTGGCACCATTGTCTTTTTCCCTCCTAGCCATGCTAGTTGTGTTAACCTTTTAGGTTTAAAAGATATTCTACAGGAAACTGGTAGAGAGAACCTTCTATGGAGTGGTTTTGCTTCTGTAATGTTCTAATTCACAATTTTTAGTTGTTGGAAGGAATTTACTTGAAATGAGTTAAATTTGTTAGAATCTTCCACACATTCCTTTAATATTGAACTTCTAGAGCTAAAAGTGGTCAACAGCCGCTGTTCTTCCAAAGTATATCAGTTGTTCTATGTCCCTGGGAATATAGCTTTGCAAGCTGTTAGACAGCTCTGTGTCTGTTCTTGGTGCTCACTCTGTGGCTTTTTCATTTCAGGATCCCGTTGTCTTAGTTTAGATTTTTCATTGCCTTGAAATAAGGATTTTCTAGTCTTTACCAGAAGAGATTGTATTTTTAAATTTTGTCGTAGTCTTAGGATTCTAAGAGGAGGAAGGAAGGGACATGTTAGATCTCAGAAAATTCAAGTGTCTGTTGGCAGCTGCCCAAACATTCTGATGAGGGTTGTGGTGGTGGTGATATGGGCATTTTGATTATCCACATCAGGGAGGCACATGAAAGTACCTTTGATAGAAAGCGGTGGTTCTCAAGTCTTGGCTACACAGGAAGAGCACTTGGGCTCCTTGTGTGTTTCTGATTTCAGACCTTTTCATGAGATCCTGATTTAACTGGTTTCAGTAGCACTCAATCTTCAGTAATTTTAAGCTGCTTAGGTGACTCTGGTTAATATGCAGCTAGAGTTAAGCTAAGTACCATTGTTTAAGCAACTTTGAGTAAATCAGTCAGTGGTCAAATTGGTAATCCAGGTACCTCTCACTGAATTTAAAGTGCAAATGGGAATGAACGTTAGATAGACAAATTTTCTCAAGAACTTTGGAAAAAATAAGCATGAAGTTAGCTACTATCATGGCTTGACTAGCTTTTTATGCTCATGTCTTTCAAAAAACTAAATCCAATGTTGTTACAACAAATTACTGTGTATTTGTAGGACCAGTTAGAGTTTAATAAACAGCTTTTATGTGAATAAATTCATGGAGTTAGGCATTTGTTTGTTTTTGCAGGGAGAAAACAAGTCTGAATACTTCTTAGGATTAACTCCGGTTGGTGTTGTTGTCTACAAGAATAAAAAACAAGTGGGGAAGTATTTCTGGTAGGTATAACCGGAGAACAGAGTATTAAAGTTATACACTTTAAGCACTAGATTTTATGGAGCTCTTGTGTCAGTGAAAGCATGAAGGAAAAGAAAACATACATTTTAAATAGTTGGCAAACAAGCTAGTGTGTGTGTTCCCTCAGTGCACCTTAGGATATATTTCTCTGGAAATTTCAGTGGTGCCGTGGTTCTGGACTCCCTTCTCTATGGAAACTGTTGTAGAATTTTCTGCTCTCTCCAGTGTGGACTCGTGGGTTGAGGACTGCTCGGATTTTTAATTAACTCTTCCTGGGAAAGGACTAGAGGGATTTGGGAGCCTATGGCCCTATTTACATCTGGGAAGGTGGCACTATTAGGACTTGGGGATGCCAAGCTGTTTTGTGCAGTTAGTGAAGAAACACAGGAGAAAGAGAATTATGTCCAAGGGAACTAAGTTGCCACTGCAGAAGTATTAAAAACAGCCTATGTTAACCAATCTTTTTTCACTGGGTACTTCTCTGAATTTCTGAAAGACTAATTCTGAAACACAGCACCATCTGCTTTATTTTTCAGGCCTCGAATTACGAAGGTTCATTTCAAGGAGACTCAATTTGAACTCAGAGTACTGGGAAAAGATGTAAGTTTTTGTGAGCACTTAGCCTAAGGTGTCTTTTCTGCTCTATTATAGCTTAAAGACATTGTGATAAATCTGTCATGTTTTCTTCAGCTGCAGCCTCGTGGAACCCAGGTAATTAACTCATGTGCACAAATTTTCAAGGAAGGGAAAGGGAAATGAGTAGAAATGAATGAGATGGTAACGGGACAATGTCATTTTGGTTTAAGCAAAGGAAAGCAAACCTTTCTAGGGCCGAGGAGAGAATAGGAGGCGATTATTGTTACTACTGCAATTTGCTTTTCAGCACGCTCTGTGAAAGTAGGATTCACAGACTCGGAAAGGTGTGTCTTGCATACTGCAGAAACGTGTCCTAATTTTGCTCTAAAGTTAAACAACCCATTGGAAGTTACACTTTCGCTGTTTCCTGTTTGAGCCTGATAGACTAAATGAAATTCTGAACCCTTTCAAAGGAGAATGGAGGGTGAGGGTGCTGAAATGCTGGCCTTCCTGGCTTCTTGGCAGCAGCTGGGTAGCGAGCACAGTATTTGTCAGAGCCTGACTGCGTCTTCATGCCTTGACAGGCAGCTTGCAGGAAACTGGTTAGAAAAGGCAAGGATGTGAATGCTTCCTTTTGATCTACCTGTGAAAGTAATGCTACCTTGAAGTGCTATTAGGATAATTCTTGTAGCATAAATTAGTGAAAATGTGATATAGGAGAGTCAATTCTTTTTCTTTCTTTCTTTTTTTTTTGGTTTTTCTCCAGTACCAGGAACCGAACTCACGACCTTGCGCTTGCCAGGCAGGCGCTTTGCCTCTGAGCTAAATCCCCAGCCCCAATTCTTTTTCTTTTGATACTAACTTTATGTGGAACAAAAACTAAATATGAATGGCATTGAATTGACTTTCTTGGTGTTATAAAGGCTTAAGGATAAATCAGTGCTTGTATGTTTGCCTGTGGAGGTGTAGGAACAGTGGACTGCCACTGTGGTTGGAATATGGCTATTTGGTAGAGCACCTCACACATAGTAGGTACTGAATACATATCACTCAAATGACCAATGAAATGATTGCTAAGAATGTGTACTACCAAGTTAGAATTGTGTTTTAAAATGAATTTGAACTTTGAAGGAAGGGAAGTTCCAGATTTTAAAGAAATGAAGGTCTAAGAAGTCTTAGCAGTTCTTAATGATATTGTTTGGAGAAAATCTGTGTTCTTCAGTTCCTTATTGACTTACCAGTCTTAAAAGATGTGCAAATGTAAAACTGAATTAAAATCATTTAAAAAGTAGGGTTTTGTTGTTTCTTTCCTATCCTTGAGTTCATATGACTTATTTAATACTGCAAGGAATAAAGTCTGTTAAACACTGAAACTAATGTTTCTAGTTTTTTTAGCAGAATATGATAAAATAAGACTTTTCATAGAAGCATTATTGTTATTCAGAGTATTCTTTATCCTTGTACCGAAGTTGTTTTGGTGAGTGCTGCCCTTTGGGGAAAGACTTTTATGTCACTTATACAGCACTTTCAAATGTATTCTGCTGTTTCAGGGTAAATATTTGGTAAATTCTAGCTCCTTAGACTTCTGTATCCTAAGGCAGAAATAGCACCAGCAGAACTAGTAATCATTTTGTTATTTTTTGATTGTAGTCTCCATAATGCAGTCTGGTTTCCTAGGGACTCTACCCAGTCCCTGTCCCTCTCATCTTTGAGAGGGAATGGATGTTTGGAGAAGCCAGAAGCATTTTGCACTGCTAGGTCATTAAACCTGGCATCGGTGATCTTTAGTAAGGTGGCAAAGCAGGTCACTGAACGTCCAGGCTTGAATCAAAGAGATTTTTAAAATTGTTCTTAATAGCACATTAATTTAACCTAGACATTCTATTTCCTGAGTGTTTTTGCTTGCAGGGATTTTTTTTTTCTTTCTCCACCAGGGCGACTCTGTGAGACAGTGATTTACATAATTGTGGAATTAAGTTGATTATTATGGAGGCCCAACTGTAATCACAGATTGAATTAAAAAGCTCCTTAAAGCCCATCACCTGGAACAGTAATCACACTGAGCTTGAAAAATGGTTGATATGCTTATTGTGCTGGTTTTCTGGTCTGCTGCTCTGGTCAAAGAGACTTACCTTAGTGTGTTCAGTGATTTTAGGCCAAACTTAGACGTTCATGCATTATTTAAATTTCCAAATAGGTGTCGTAGTTTAAATAAAACCTCAAAAGAAGTAACCTTTGATATAAAGATTTAGCCTGGTGTTGGTAGAATGTCTAGAAAATACTCTTCTAAAAAGAAAACTAATATTTATTATCCTAAGATTCACAAGTAATTGTTAATATTTTGATACAATTGCTTTCAGATTTTACCCATTAATGTGAGTGTATAAAATACACACATGTATAGGTCATCCCCATGTAGTTTTGTTTTATTTTTTGTGTTTTTGTTTTATTTTTTTGGTTTTTCTCCAGTACCGGGAACCGAACTCACGACCTTGCGCTTGCCAGGCAGGCGCTTTGCCGCTGAGCTAAATCCCCAGCCCCAGTTTTGTTTTATTTTAAGGAGAGTAGTAAATGAGAAACAAACAAACAAATAGAACTGTTAGCTTAATATATCATAAGAATTTTTCTTTCTTCATTATATTTATCCAGATTTGGCTCCTTGGTGTTCAGGTTTTAGTTTTGTGCTTTTATTTATTTATTTATTTACTTACTGCTGTTGTAGATGCATTCTTTTCTTCCTATTATATTTTCTAACTGTTGTTTTGCTAGAAGTGAAAGCTACTGAATTTTATGTTTACCTCAGATGTAGCCACATTGCTCAATTATTTAAAAAATGTTTTTATTATTGCATGTTTGCAATAGACAATGATTGCAGTCAGGAACAGAAAGAATACAGTTCCTGACAATTCCTAACGTGTCATGTGTGTGATTTCTTTTATTTATCTTGAAACTAACCTTGGCTAAACTTAACTCAGTGTGACAGGATGTGGGACAGATAGGCTCTTGGCAACTCTGGCTATGAGTAATTAGACCCATGTGGCAGGAACTTTGGGCCCTCTTTAGAGTACACAGGAAGTGAAAGTGGCCAGGAATTGTCACTGTTTGTCAACAAGCTCAAGAGGCCTGCTTATACAAGCAGGGCATTCCTTTACATTTTCACTGACACCATAGATATGAGAAATATATATATTTAAATCTATAAGAAGATTTAAATATAATGTTTAAATTATATATTTAAATATATATAAAGCTATATTTAATAATTCCCAATTTACAGAGTGGTAAAAATTAAAATATTACAAAGACTGTGTTCATCTACTGTTACCTAGAGCTGTATTTTATTTCATTTCCTTAATGTGTGTACTTTTCTCTCTTCTCATATGATTCTTTTCTGAAAAGTGTAAAAGAAAGCTACATATGTCACAGACTCGAAAGATTTCAGTGCATATTTCCCCAAAATAAGGATATATTTTGATGTAGCCACAGTGCAGTTATCATCTTAATAAATTTATATTGATATTGTACTTTTATCATCTACCTTCTATACACCAATTTTGTTGAATGATGTAGTAATATGCTTTGTGGCATTTTCCCCTAGGAGTATAGAGTACAGTCAGATTCTTTTCATCGGGAACATTTTCATAGCATTTCTTTGTCTTTTATGACATTGGCTTTTTCAAAGAATATAGTTGTATTATTTTAAAACAGGAAACATTTCATTTTATATTTTTCTGCCATTTCTTTGTGATTGGGATGGCTTTATGCCCCAGCAATAAAACTGCATCAGGGAAGTTGTGTTTGTCTCAGGCATGTGATGGCCAGTTGTCCCCCATTGGTTGTTAAGTTTGATCTCCTAGCCATGGTATTACCTGGTTGGCTCACTATGTAATTCCTGGTTCAGGTCTTTTTTTCTCCTTGAAGGTAGGAGGGGCCAGTGGTGAGATATATACATTAAAACAATGAAAATACCTTTCTTCTTTTCAAAATTCCTGGTAAAGTTAGCATTTATTGAGGATTTTTGTCTGGTCCAGTCTTTTATTTTGAAAATTAGAAAATGCTGGATTTTTCAGCCTCATTTATCAGCCTTCAGCTCTAAGCAAGACCCCCTTTTCTCTCCTTTTGATTTATTAGTCTATTAGTGACATGAACTTATTAATCTTTGTTTTTCATTGGTTTATATTACTGTATCTACTGTTTTGCTGTTCAGATCGTCTTAGATTTAATTAATAAGAGCCCCTTCACTCTGATACCTTGTGCCGTTTGGACCTGCCCCCATCATTCCTTGCGTACTTTTTTCCTTTTGGTATAAAATGATGTTTCAGGAGAATTGTATATCTGTCCCACCACTTTCAGGGCAAATATGGTCAAGATGTGGTGCTAGCTGTGGTTGTTGTACTGGGACGGGCTTGCTTCCTGACATTGTCAGAGCTAGGGAATCTGTGCCTGTGTAATACACATAATTCATATGTGTGTGCATGTAAGCATACACATATTAGAACCATACCGCCTTCTACCCACAGGGTTTTTCCTAGCCTTCCTGTATTTCATATTTATATCCTTTCTTTGTCTATGATAACCTTGGCTCCCAACAACAACAGTACATTTACTCATTTGCTTGGTTCTAAAATACACATCAAATAGTTTCAGAATTAGTTTGGCCAAACCACAAAAATTGTTTGCAGTTTTCTCACCCACATACACTATCTTGCCAAGACAGGGTTTGTGCTGTGCTGTGTTCAAAATTTACTTGGACTGGTCCCCCTCCCTCTCTTCATTCCTTTCTTCCTTCCTCATTACTGTGGTTAGGTATTCACTTGAAATCTAATTAGGTTTACTTTGTTTCATTTCATTTTCGGTATGGTTTCTTCTGCTTCACATTCTTACTTGTTTAATGTCATATTTTGAGTACATAGAAGATCAACATATTTCCCAAAGTCAGTGCTATACAAAAAGGCATACTCAAAAGTATCACTAACTCTCATATTCCTTTGGACCTATTTCCTCATCCTTTGTAGGCATTAAAC